TATGGATACAAGGCCGCCTGGGTCCACTCAACCACACAGTGAGGGAGGAAGCACCAGGCCAGGCAAACACAAACCCAGAAGGGCAAGAGGCCTCTGAGGCAAGCCTGGGATTGGCCCATCACAGCAGCTGCTTCCTAGAAACCCCCACAACCATCTTCTCCTGGTTCATGGCATCATCATGACTTCATTAATTCACTGAAACAGAGGGACCATTATTTCCACACTTTTAATAGCAATGTGCTATTGGGTCCCACAAACACCCAGGAAATAATCCACAGTCAAACCAGTAGTTCAGCGTTATTATTCAACTGACCTAAGAATTCCATGGATCCCGTTAGCCAACACCATTCCTTCAAAGTGAGGCAGCCTCCCCTCACACACACACGTGCCCCAACTCCCCATCCCCATTCAGAAAACTAAGTTCAAGAAACTCTTTTCATTAAGTCCTGTGCCTGTTCTCCCATCATTCATGAGTCACCCATTTGAGTCTTTGCTAACCTAGAATCTGGCAGAAACACCACACATCATGTGTCCTCAATGGGTCACCCACTTCTACCCTGTTACTACTTTTAAGAAGGAAACATGAAGCTCCAAACTGGCTGCATCATAAGGATGTGGGCAGAACTTCTAGGCTTTTAGTCTACATAATCCCCTACAAAGCAGGATTCTGTTGTCCCCATTCTTCTCTTCTTGGCCCCTGATGACATCCACCCATACAGGGAACTGCTGCAGGTTCCTGAGCTATGTGCACAGAGGACAGCCCTTGGCCAGAGCGGGAAGTGGGGTCCAGAGCGAGTCACAGACAGGCCCTCCCTGCCCAGAGTGGAGGCACCACCAGGCAGGAGGAGATGGCCTCCTTCCCACAAGCAGTCTAGACTGTGGGCAGAGGAGATGAGCTGGATTCTCAGGCCAGCCATTCCCACTAAGAATAGAACTTCTGCACACCCTCATGTCCTCCTGCCTCATTAGGCTGGCCTCCTAAATGGTGTGTGAAGCACCAAGATGCTGTAGGGGATGTTCAGGTTGGCCTGCTTCTCTCGGAGGGACCCAGACTGTGTGCAGGATGATGGCAGTGTGGTGGCTGAGAATCCCATCTCTGGCATTGCACCAACGGAGATCAAACTACCAGCTGAGCTCAACAAAAGTAACTATCATTTATTGAGCGCTTACTATGTGCCAGGCATGGTACTACATGCTTACATGCATTACCTCATTATATCCTCACAACCACACCGCGAAGAAGGTACTATTGTCAGACCCACTGGCTTCAAGGTGGAAGCTTAGAGCAGCCTAGTAACCTGCCCACACCTAGGGTGATTTGATCCCAAAGTCGGTCTTAACCGCTGCTCTCGGCCTCAGTCATACTGCCTCAGTTTCCTCATCTATAAAATGGAGATAATAATACCTAATCAAAGGCTGTTTTCTGGATTAAAAAGGATAACGTATGTAAACCCTTAGCACTATGCCTGGCACATATTAAGCACTATACTATTGTAATCCTTATTAATAAACACACTGATATCTCACTGGCTCAACAATAAAAAGAAGGCGCCTCAGTAGGTAGGCATTTGATGGGAAAAGGAAGGGGAGGGTTGGGGAGGAGACAGGGTCTTTAAACAGTCAACGAATTTGAAACCCACTGGACATAAAACCCTAGACTTCACATATTCTGCCCCTCTATTCTCATAAATCATCCACATGACCTCAAAACTCCAACACTTCAGCATCCAAAGGATACCTCCTAAACTGCACTCAAAGTGTGTTGGGAAACATGGTCCCCATACAAACAGGTGACAGCCTTAATCAAGAGACAGCTTCAGGTGAGAACGGCTTCCATCCACCTGAGAGGCCAGGTAAGGCCACTGCTGGTCAACCTGAAAGGTAGGGGCACATTCAGATGGCAACAGCAGCCAGGACTTTTCTGAGAATAGGGCCCACCTTTTGCAGGGATGGGGATAAGGAGAGTCCAGGCCCAAGAGAAGGTGGGCCAGGCAGAGCCCTGAGATAAGAATCCTTCATCACTACTTGGTTTAAACCCTAGCACCCCATGCAGGCTATGGCACAAGGCCCCCACCGAACAAGAGAAAATGAGTCAGGAAGTGAGAGCTGTTCATCTCTTTAAAAACTGGAAGCTGGGCAACTGTGTGGAGGGTAATAAAGGGAAAAGGAAGTTTGTTTTGACCAAGTCAGGGAAGAATATGAGGCTCTGCCCAAGTATTAGCCACCACCTTCAGGAGCCCAGAGTTTGTTCCACCTGCTCTTTGGAGCCCAGTGTTCCAAAGCACAAGTGAGAGTCCATCTGCAGCTTACTGTCTTGCAGTGTGTCCACAAAAGTCACCTGGACATCCTCCCCACCCTGACCTCAGAAGAACAGAAACCAGGGTTCAAGTGAAATTGTCCTCCCGACTCCACCCCTTTCTTAGCACATAATCACTGTGCAAGAAAGGTGGGCCCAGATATGTTACTCTGGAAGACGAAAGACAATAGTGCCTAAGATATTACTAAAACAGGGAAAGGCTTCAGCAGTGACATACCACATTCAGTAAAGTGATGAAAATCTACTGCCTTGGACATGCATCTAGGGCTGGCTTTGTAACTAACAAGACCCCTGCTTCACAGTTTTCTGAGCAAGGACGCTCTGTCCCAAGTCCTTGATACCCTCCCACTACCCAACTCTGTCAACAGCGGAGATGAACCTGAGCTTTGGGAAACATGGTCCCCATACAAACAGGTGACAAGGGCTGAGTCAAGGGCTCACTGACAGTGTGAAGATCTCAACTCAAAGATCCATTCGAATAAGGCTCCAGTCGACTCAGCAACTAGCTCAGACCCAAATCACAAGGTCTGTGTAGTCTCCCTTAAAACATATTTTTGGGATTTTCTTGCATAAAATAGGTCAAGTTACAGGATAAAAACCCAGTGGGAAAAAATTCTATAAAAATGGTTTCGAAGTCCACCTGTGTAAAGTCAAAAGTTACATCCTCCCCAATGAAAGAGATTAGTTTCAAAGGATGTGAAACTAGTTCTCATACATTATAGGGCTGTACAATACTAAGAGTAATTACATTTTAAATGCAAAATACTGTAGCTATTAAAATGCCCAGAATATGAAACAAGTTGCCTAAGAGGGTTTACCTTTCAGGAGTAAAACATAAATGGAATCTTTTTGAATACTAAAAGCAGCTAAAAGGGCGACATGCACACACACAAAAGGCAAAGACTTGGCACCCTGTGAGCAGTCATGAGCAGAGCTCCCAGGGGCTGGGGGGGTGCCCATCAGCCCTGGTTTCTATGACCCCCTTGTTCCACCAGGCAGGAGCCAACAGCAATTTAAGCTCCCACCTGGCTCAGGCCAGGCCTCCTGAGCTAGAGGGAAAGAAACTGCAATACCGTGGTGTACTCACACCACATTCACAAAAGCAAGAAGGGCTGGGGGACCCTCCAGGTGTCCTGTGGGTAAAGTACAGGATAGAGTGAGCCCTGACTCCACCACGCTACGCTGGGAAAGCTCCCTGCCTGGTAAGGTGCTCCTGACTCTCACCCAAGGTAAGAAGGCTGTTGTGAGAATGTAGGGATAGAAGTTGGAAAGCAAAGCAAAAGTCTCTGAATCAGGATTATGCAGTATTTATGAATAAACAAATGAGAAGCATAAAACCACACATGGAAGTGATAAACAGGGAATTCACGACAAGGGAGGGCACACAGTTGCAGTCACATTTTATTTTTGACCAAAAAAAAAAAAAAAAAAGGGTCTAAAGCAAGTGATGCCATTCATTAAGATCTGAATGTATATACGTAAAAATGGTTTCTTGCATCTTGTCTGTGAATAGGAGAAAGAGAAACATTGTGCTATATGGACACAAGACAGCGGTGCTCTCCCAGCTACCTGACAAAAATTCTTCATCTCCAGAAAGCATGCAGGGGAAATCAGAAAATAAAACACAAGCTGACCCTCTGGCCTGCCTGCTAGCAGCTCTAGTGAGCACTCAGCTTTGGCTTCCTAGGACCCCCTTCCCCACCCCACCCGCCACCAAGTGAACATGAGCCTTGCCCAGTATGCTCGGCTCCCAAAGGCAGCCCTATTCAAAAGCAGGTCTCTGCAGCTGGGCCCCAGCTGAGACTTCCTCCTCTCGAGGAGCCCACCATATGCCCACAATGGGACAAAAGAGACAAATGAGGAGCCCTTTTGGTATCTAGTTTGGTGATCAAGGTTCCTTCTTCAATCTGAAAACTACAGTTTCATTATCGATCACCTTTACTGTTTGGGTGTGCTGCTGAGATACCTACTCACCTTGAGGATAAGCATGTAAGGGCCTGAAAACACTTCCTGTTTGGGGGGTGCCCAGGACCTCACTCAACGAGCCTCTACTGGCATGAACTTGCTCAGCCAGAATCACAGAAGAGTGGAATTGGGAGTAGCTCTGAAAAAGGGGCCTTTGAGAGTGATGCATCCTGCCTGGGGTCACACAGCCAGTACTGAAATGAAACCCCTTGTAATAATACGTTTTGTTTTAAGGGGCCTTGGACCTGAATAAGAAAAGCCATGAGGCTGAAATGGAAATAAAAGTTCAGCAGAAAGAAGCTGCTTCAGCCCTGCACACATATGGGAAGTCACTCAAGGATGTGTGAGCTGAAACATCCCGAGGACTCCATCCTCTGCTGGACGCTCTAGAGACCTGGGCTGACTGTGCACTTTCAGGGAGGCAGTGAGGCTAATTTACAAACAAAAACACCACAAACCAGCACTAGACCATGGTGCTGAAGCAAATCATTACACCCTCGTTGGCAATGAAAACATCCATGGCACCGAATAATTTAATATATTTGGGCACCAAGTTCCCTCTCCGGCACTCCATTGCTTATTGGCCTGACAAAGAACTAATCTGTCCTCCCAAAGTCAATCTCACCCCTGAAATTAGGGAGGGGAAAAAAAATCACAGTTTAAGCAAACAACAACAACAAAAGGTCCCCCAGTACAATATAAACTACATTTAAACTGGTCACATTATATAAAAAGTGTGCATTTAATCTTCAAAATAGTCAAGCCTCTAATCAGGTTAGGTTTTCCATAGTTTTAAGCAGGATTTTGTGGTTTTAGTGAAGAAGTCATGGTACAATTGAAATCACTGTAAGAAATAAGTAACTTTTAAAACAAACACAGACACGCACACTCCTCTTAAGAGTAATATATACACAACACAGCAGCTACATGGGTGTTCGGGCAAAGGGTGCATGAACGACAAGCCCTCTGCTCCCTGCCTGATGAGAAAGTCCCCAGAAAGGATTCAGCAGCAGAAAGTCTACAGCACATACGTGGATGGCATCGTCCCTGAAAACACACAGTTAGGTGGACTGACCTACAGGAGACACTGGAGCTTAGACATGTGGGAAAGGGCTCAGTTACAGTACATTCTACTGCATACACTTGAAATATTACAGTGTGTTTTTTCTCCAGACTACTATAAATAATTTTTCGTGCTTTCTGAAAAAAATAAAAACTGAAATTTTATTTCAGTCTGTGATGAAGGTGAACCCATCTTATAAAGCAGAGCTTATTTACATTCTGCAGGATTTTGGTGTGGATGGACAGAAGGCTTATCTGGTTAGTAAGCCTCCATTCCTCCAACCTACAGAAGGCAACTCTCCTGCAGCTCCAAGCAGGGATTTCTAGAAAAGACTAGGTGTACAAAACATCCAAGCTGTGCCTCCCCCCACAGGTGGGGAAGTCCCCTGATTTGGTTGGACACAGATGAATGTCTGTGTTTGACTGAGCCCAGAAACAGTTCAATTGATAGGAGCTGGAACCACTAAGAAAACACTCCTGACCTGGGCAACACTGTCTTCCAGATAAATACTTTTGTTTTAAAAAAATTCAAATGGTTTTACAACCCATGACTTCTTTCCAACTCAAAGCTGTAGTTTACTCACAATGCAAATTCTAAACACATAGACTGCTGTATGTACAGATTTGTTGAACCCACAAATAAAAAATATCCTACAAAAAAAAAAAAAGACAGTGAGTTGAAGCCTCATCATTGTCTAAGTCACACCAGCTGGGCTTGCCTTGGAGACCTGCCCCTGCTCAGTTCCGCTCCTGTTCTTTTGGCCCTGGGTGGCCCCTACTCGTCCTCTGTGGCGGATGTCAGCATCCCCTTGTCGATCAGATGAGACCGCAGTGTGTTGAAGATATGGAGCTGCTGATCTGGCCGTAAGGTCAGGAACTGCTGAATCAGTTTGCTTGGGTTAGGGCCTCTGGAACAGAATGTGAAGAAACAGCACTGAGCTGGGCCCCGGAAGCTTCCAGGGCCTGATTATCCGAGTGACTGCTCTGATCTCTGGATCAGAGAGTTATCTATTAACAGATGGCAGGAGAAGGCCTCAGAAAATCCGTAAGCAGCAACAACTGAAAATTGTATTATTTGGGATGCTTTTCACTGGAACTGAGATGCTGCTAAAATTCTAGAATTGCACCATACTTAAAAATCCACCAACTTGGTTCAGATAGAAAGGTACTATACCTGATAAAACTGGCGATGTATACATTGACAAAGGTGGCCATCAGATACTGGCAGTCAAAGCGATCCATGATACCTCCATGGCCAGGAATGGTATTGGCAAAGTCCTGTTAGAGGCAGGGGAAAGACGGGTGAACTTGGGCTCAGCCACTGATCAATCCCAACCTAATGGTCCCACCCCAATGTCTGGCTTCTGTCCTGAGTAGCTGAGGGCAACAGAAGGTGAGAAGTATTAAATCTACTGGTGAGGCTATATTAGGACACAATTTTATTGCATTACAAAATGTTCTTATTTCATTTACTTAATAAAGACAGGAGTCTTGCTATGTTGCTCAGGCTAGTTTCGAACTCCTAGCCTCAAGTGATCCTCCCGGCTTGGCCTCTTAAAATGCTGGGGTTACAGACATGAGCCACTGCCTGGCCCAAAATGTTCTTTTGAAGAAAGCTATTTTTTTTTTTTTTTTTTTTTTGAGACAGAGTCTAGCTCTGCCGCCCAGGCTGGAGTGCAGTGGCCGGATCTCAGCTCACTGCAAGCTCCGCCTCCCGGGTTTACGCCATTCTCCTGCCTCAGCCTCCCGTGAAGAAAGCTATTATTAACAAATAAACTGAAAAACAACGATTGCATTTTCCTGAGAATAAAGTATTGTTATTAATTAACTCACCTAAATTCAGTGCATGGGTCAAGATCACACATTAAATGCCAGGGTGTATAGTCCAGTGTTTTGGAGGGAGCAGGGAAGGGTGAGAAAGGCAGAAGATGGGTGAGGAGGGAGTGAGATGAGAGGAACACAAGAGGGTTTTCCTACTTTGATTTTAAAGGCTCGTTTGAATCCACTTGCGAAGAATCCTCCAAAGGGGCCAATGAGCGAGGCAAAGGTGGAGAGGGCGATGCTGTGAATCTGGAAGGGGTACATCCGGACCGTTTTCTGAAAAGAGTAAATGAAGTAAAAGTTAAGGTGCGTACGTGCCCAGTGTTACGGTCTGAGTTGTCAACTCATGTTGAAATTTGACCCCCATTGTAGCCTCACTGGGAGGTGATGCCTAGTGGGAGGTGTTTGGGTCTCAGGGGCAAATCCCTCATAAATGGCTTGGTGCCTTTCTCCTGGTAGTGGGTTCTCTCTGTCAAAAGACGAGATGAGCATTGGCAAATGGGTTGTTATGAAGTGATGAAGCTCCTGGTTTTCCTCTTTGCATGTGTCTGCTTCCACCTTTGACCTTCTCCGCCATGTTACAATGCAGCACAAAAAGCCCTCACCAGAGGCCAGGCAGCAGCCAATGCCACACTTCTCGCACTTCCCGGCCTGCAGAAACAAGCTAAGTAAACCTCTTTTCTTTATAAATTACCCAGCCCCAAGTGTTCTATCAACACTACATTGTTATAATATACCTATAATATATATAATGTGTAAATATATAATAATGCTATAACAACAGACAGACCAAGACATCCAACCTCATAACTCTTTATGAAACTAATTGCATATATGTAGGTTTTTAAATCAATAAAAGGAGTGAATTTTTCCCGTTTTTGTAAATTTCTAATATCGAAGTTAATGGAAAACATTAAAACATTCTGCATTCAATCTGTTGCAACATGCTGTTTTAGTGGAAGTATATAAAGAAAATCCAGCCTTACACAGATACATAGTTGAAAAGAGTATTTTAGTTGTAGTCTCAGATGGTTTTGGGTATTCTCTGACACTACACCAGAGCTTGACAAGCAGTCATTTCTTGAATATTAGGTGTGATATGGAATCCAGAATTCTATCAATGTAATTTGTTCTCTCTTACATTAAAATCCATTGGTCTATCTTATACTTGAATGTATCTTTTACCCATGTATGACTATATAGCACCGTGTATCAGCCATTTTGAAAATAATGGTTCCAAATGTAGACACATTTCATTATACAGTGTCAAATATGTTTGTTTTTCTCATGTGATCAACACACACACACACACACACACACACACACACACACACACACATATTAAGAATCATCACAGACCTCATCAGAAAAGGCTTTAAGTATTAGGAAGTTGTCAAGTTCACACTGGCAGGTTAAGTTTTCCAAAATTCTAATGTTCATTTGAAAGCCAAATTTTATCCTTGGTAACAATTACTGTCAGTCATTTTTCTTTTTTTCTTTTTTTTTTTTTTCTTGAGACAGTCTCACTCTGTTGCCCAGTCTGGAGTGCAGTGGTGCGATCTCGGCTCACTGCATCCTCCGCCTCCTGGGTTCAAGCAACTCAACCTCCCGAGTAGCTGGGACTACAGGCACACGCCACTACGCCCAGCTAATTTTTTGTATTTTTAGTAGAGACGGGGTTTCGCCATGTTACCCAGGCTGGTCTGGAACTCCTGACCTCAAGAGATCCACCTGCCTCAGCCTTCCAAAGTGCTGGGATTTCAGGTGTGAGCCACCATGCCTAGCTCAGTCATTTTCTTTAAAGTGATAGGCTCACTTCATTTCTTTTCAAGAAAAATGGCTGCCAAATACCCAAGTCTAAAAAATTATAATTTGTTGGTTCTTTCCAAGTAAAATTTACTTTCTTTTCTAGAAAAAAGCAGCTAATTCAGTTCACAAGTCAAACAACTGCACACCTGCTTTCCCTTTAGGCAAGCAGAAATGTTTTACACATACTTTCCATTTCAGTAGAGTATTAAAAAGGTGTGTATACAAAGGTCAAGATTTAACAAAATTAGTAACTTTACTATTTCATAGACATTCATTAGAAGAACTGGCCTGTTGTACTGTGAGTGTGTGGCATTAGGAACCCACTGCCTTAACTCACGTGAAGGCATCAGCAGTTTTAACCACTGTTGCTTTTGCGCCGTATCACAGCAAATGTCAACACAATGAAAAAGGCAAATAATGTCACAGTCTAATTATAAAAGAGTTGTGACCTCACAGACCCCCCACACTACCCCTGCAACTAAAAGGATCCCACAGCCTTCCAGGGATTCACAGAGCACACTTTGAGAACCACTGGTCTAAACGATCTGACGTTGGGGGAAACATCTTCTGCCCATACCCTGACCTGGCGTGAGCAATTCTCCCTCATCCTGGGGCTTACAGCTTTGGGAAGGAGGAAGCTAGCTTTTTTTGGAAGGCAGGTGGTGCAGGGGGATTTCTCTTTGTAGCCACTGTCCACAGAGGCCGCTGACCCCCCGTGAGTGGCACATACCCAGCCAATGACTGACTGGATCACCCCAGGAATGTTGTACTCCTGCAGGCGAAACAGGTCCGAGGGCTCACAGTCCACAGTGAAGCTGTTGGTGTCGTTGTTGTACTCCACAGGGCAGACGAAGCATCTGTACCCGGACATCACATAGGACAGCTGAGAAGGAATAACAGAGAGACTGGCAAGGAGGTAAGTTCCAGCCATCCAGCCTAGACACGGGCACCTGGTTTGGCCATGTTCCTCAGGGTGCCCAGTACCCTGCTAACTGCAAGCTATGTGCTCAGTGGTTCATGTTTTACCATACATATTTTACCTCAATTTAAAAAAAAAGAGGCTCATGACCCATCAAGGTTACACATAGGCACCCAAACACCTAGGCCCCGAAAGAATCTGGGAAAACCTGAAGGGACTGGGTCAAAAAACTATAGGAAGACTCTCCCCATTTGGGGAGCTAGGACCACTTTCCTCGGAATCTCTGAACTCAGTGATAACTGGACAGAGGCCGTGGGGAAGGGGCACAGTGAGAGTCAGACCTCAGGAGGAACAAGGCTGGAAAGCAACAAAGCTGGGCAGGGAGCATGAGGGGCAGTCAGACAGCGCTGAAGAAGGAGGACTGGCCCAGGGGTCAGAAGCAGAGAATGGTGTTCTGGAAAGGGTGGGAAGATCACCCACCTCTGGGCAAGGCACATGTAGGAGAAAAGCTGTGTATCTCATCTTCCCTTGGGTGCCCTCACCCTGACCTTGGAACATCAAATGCTTGACAAGAAGGCTACCTGCTGATGTCACCGTGCCTGGGCGTGAGAGGGCACAGAAGGTGCTCTCCAACTGCTAGCACCCTGCCTGAAAGCTGGTGGATGGCTGGCATGGCCAGTGGCCCTCTTCAGGGCAAGGTTGCCATTCAGCAGGACACAGTCCTGGTCTCCAAAGACACTCTCTAGCTCTGGACAGGCCTTGAAAGGTGGTGTGAGACCTCTGTCCACCCAATCCCTCACACAGCTAGAAGCCACCACCTACCAGAAGGCCAAACACCACAGTAGCAAAGAAGCCCCCAATGAAGCCTTCCCAGGTCTTCTTCGGGGACAGCTGTGGACAGAGAGCAAGTTCTTAGCAAAGGATGTTTTGATAACTACAGTTTTGGGAACAATAAGTACTTGTTAAGAACCTTTCTTTCATGAAACCCCATTCTCTTAACCATATCACCTTCCAAAGCTCCCCCAAATATGGTTTCCTTGTTCCCTACCTTATACCCTCCCTTTGGTTCCCTTTCTGTTTCAGTCATTCGAATAGTTTTATATTAGAAAACTATATACTAATTAAATGACTACACTCAAATCCAGATTGAAGTCCCAAAAAATGTGTCCCAAAAAGAAGATTATATAAATCTGTAAAAATATTTTCCTTTCTTCTTTTTTCAAGACATGATCTTGCCCTGTCAGTCAGGCTGGAGTGTAGTGGCACTATCACAGCTCCCTGAAGCCTCAACCTCCTGGGCTCAAGAGATCCTCCCATCTCAACCTCCCAAGGAGCTGGGACTACAGGTGCATGCCACCACCATGCCCAACTAATTTTTAAATATTTTAGTAAAGACACGGCCTATGTTCCCCAGGCTGGTTTTGAACAACCTGGCCTCAAGCAATCCTCCTACCTCAGCATCCCAAAGTGCTAGGATTACAGGCATGAGCCACCATGCCCAGCCTATTTTATTATCTTTTTTTTTTTAATCAGTTGTCAGTGTTTTCCTTTGGCCTTTCTCCAGGATGACATGAAGACATGGTCACAATACAACACAGGAAGATTTCTTCTGTCTGCCAGGCTGATCTACTCACATTGAGAGCACCACCCTCCTGCTCACAGTGGTATTTCACATTAGGGTAATCCATTTACCTTGATAAGTGGGGTCCGACCAAAGAAAAAGCCAAACATATAGGCCATGATGTCATTACAGATCACACAAGATATGGGGACAATGAACCTAGAAATGAACCAAAGTAAGGATCAACTCAACCAAGGTGACAGTGCCTCAAGAGTACACAAAACAGTGCCATTCTTAAATTCCAGTACCAAAATCACCCATAAAATTCTGATAACCCACTAAGGAGTAAGTTAAAAACATAAAAATACCAAAAAAGTCATACCTAGCACCTGACACAAAGTACACATTCAAGTGTTTACTGAATGACTACTGAATAAGTGGAGATTGCAAACTAAAAGGTCATCTGTCCTTTTTTCATGATAAAGAAATATACATAAACAATGATAGAAATTTAATTTTAAAAGGAACAAAAAGTTTTCCTTCTTTCCCCCATCCCTATCTCCATTCCCAAAAATAACCACTTCTAATCGTTTCTCGTTTTTATTTTTTTAGTGGTTACCTCCCCGATTCTAAATAATATGCTTTAATGTCTAATTACTGACTTTTTTTGCTGTTTATTACTAGCTCTAGTAGGCCCTACCTTTCCCTAGGGCTGTATTGAGCATGAAACCCCAACACGCACAGCTAGATTTCCTCTCTGCCCATCCCCTGCTGTTCCAGTCATCCTCACTGTGAAAGAGGTGGTTTCCACACTTGCACTCTCTCTCTCCTCACTATTCCATGCTGACACTTTTTAAAAAGTTCTTTGATTACTGTTTTTTGTTTTGTTTTGTTTTTTTGAGACAGAGTTTCTCTCTGTTGCCCAGGCTGGAGTGCAGTGGCACAATCTCGGCTCACTGCAACCTCCACCCCCAGGTTAAGTGATTCTCCTGCCTCAGCCTCCCGAATAGCTGGGATTACAGGCGCCTGCCACCATGCCCAGATAATTTTTTGTATTTTTAGTAGAGACGGGGGTTTCACTATGTTGGCCAGGCTGGTCTTCAACTCCTGACCTCATGAAATTTAATTGTAAAAGGGACAAAAAGTTTTCCTTCTTTCCCCCATCCCTATCTCCATTCCCAAAAATAACCACTTCTAATCATTTCTAATTTTTATTTTTCTAGTGGTTACCTCCCCAATTCTAAATAATATGCTTTAATTATTTAATATTTAATTACTTAATATCCAGCCTCCCAAAGTGCTGGATTACAGGCATGAGCCACCGCACCCGGCCTTTTACCTTTTCACTAAGATCACCTAGCTGCTTCGGTTGGCCAGTGGTTTCTATCAATGCTGACAGATGAAACCATTGCATTTTTGGAATAAAATCCACTCAGTATTTGCATATTATTCCCTTGACACACTGCCAGATTCTATTTGCTAATATTTTATTTAGAATGATTTATCTACAATCGCAGCAGAAATGGGTTTATCATTCCTGCTTCTCTCTCCTCATCAGCTTTGGTATAAAGGTTAGATAAAACTCAGCTGTTAACCCATTTGGTCCTGTTTCTTTTTCCAGATATGGAATCTTACATAATTTTCAAAGCTCATTTAAAGTTACTGATCTATTCACGTTTTCTTCTTCATGACTTTTAGTACACATTTTGCCAAGAAATCATGAATATTTCCTCTAGGTTTTCAAATCTGTTGCCATACGTGTTGCATTGTCTTTGCGTCTTTAAATATTCCTGTACCTGTTAGTCTAGAACAGTGGTTCTCAGAGCATGGGTCCTGTCCAGCAATATCAGCACCACCCAGAAATGTACTAGAAATTCAAATTCTCAAGCCTACCCTAGATCTAATGAATCAAAAACTCAGGGGTGGGGCTCAGCAATCTGTGTTGTAAGGAGCCCTGCAGAGGATTCTGATGTGACAGCTACTGGCTTAGAGGGTATCTGTACATGAGAAACATTCACAAAATAAAAGGGAAAATCCATCTCCCAACTCTCACCAGATCATTCCTTCAAATAAATTGTGGATAACAAGATGTGACTGTGTTACAACAATCAGCAGCGTCACATGGGTCCAGCCAAACTGCAAAAAAAGAAAAATAAACACTACTTACCAGTTTACCTTGAAAGTAACTTCAAAGAACAATCAGTACCAAATAGAAAATTGCTGAGAAACAGGTAGGAAAAATATCTGCTTTTGTATCTGACTTACTGAAAGTGAACAGGTAAGATCAGGCTTCTGAGAGTAACACTTTGTCCCCCACAGCCCACTAGTGAGTGAGCTCTCCCAAGCTCTGAAAGCCTGGGTATTTTTCATTTTCTTAGTAGTTATTGAACACCTGGAGCACTCACAGAGGAGCTGTTCTCTAGTGAGTCAGGAATAAGCGGCAGCAAGTGATGTACCAGACAGGACATCTGCGGGCAATGTCTGAAGCTTTAGCTTGTGCTTTCTCTGGAACCCACTTCAGAGTCCTAGTGGAAAGGCTGCTTAAAGTGTAAGTTAAATAACAGTGACTGGGTCTAAGTCAATGTAGAGTCGTTAAACCTAAATGGGCATTCTTCCTTCATGCTCTAGATCCTTACAGATCAGACCACGTTCCTGAGTTTTGATTTGTCACAGAAAGCATGAAAGGCTTGTTGAGTTCCTGAAAAACTTTATTTAAATCAAGAATTCTGACACACACACATGCATTTCCTTTACCATGTAGAACTGCAGTCGATAATGCTTCTTGACCAGACTCAGTACAAACATGCAGAATCCTAGTTTGAGGTGGGAGGAGAAAAGAAAAATGAATTATGTTCTGCATTTATCTTTGCCCTTCTTTAGCTATGTTAAGTAGTTCTTTGGCTGATTTATTCCCAGCAGCTAACCAGTACACAATGTCAAAGCCCAGGGGAGGAAAACAGTATCCAGATAAACAGTCACAAGGAAAAAATAACTCCTCCAAAACAGTAAAAGGAAGGCAATATTTTATAGTCATGCAGACCACACTAAACTTAGAACATGGTTCATCAGATAGGAATGTTTATTCCTAGAACAGGGACCAGCAAACAGGGGTCAGGCCAGCTGCTTGTTTTTATTAATAAAGTTTTATTCAAACACAGTTATGTCCACTTGTTTACATATTGTCTATGGCTGCTTTCAAGCTACAACTCAACAGAACTGAGTACAGTCATGCTCTGAACAACAAGGTTCTGGTCAACAACAGACCACATATACAACAATGGTTCCCTAAGATTATAATACCCATTAGATTGTAATACTGTAAGATTTACTAATTACCATATAGTACCTTTTATATGTTTAGATACACAAATACTTACCATTGTGATATAATTGACTACAGTATTTATTTAGTAAAGTAACATGCTGTACAGGTTTCTACTTTAAGAGAAATAGACTACACATTATAGCCTAGGTGTATAGGAGGCTATATCATCTAGGTCTGTGTAAGTTCACTCTACGATGTTTGCACAATGATAAAATCACAACAATGCATTTCCCAGAACGTAGCCCATCATTAAGCGACGCATGGCTGTAATTGCCAGAAAGACCCTATGGTCCCCAAAGCCTAAAATATTAACTGTTCCTTTGGAACTTTAATAAAAAGTTTGCAGGCTGCTGTGCCTACAGAGTAGCAATTCTTTTATTCCTTTACTTTCTTAATAGACTTGCTTTCACTTTACTCCATAGACTCACCCCAAACTCTTTCTTGTATGAGATCCAAGAACACTCTCTCGGGGTCTGGGTCTGGACCCCTCTCTGGTAACATCTGTCTGGTGAACCCCAAAGGGACAATACTGAAGAGACCTCCCCCAACCCAAAGGAAATAGACTGCAGCACTGATTGGCTGACTTTTTTTTTTTTCCTGCAATTTAAACTGCTTGTTCCTGTGAACCAACCAGTGATCTCTGGCTGCAGCTCAGAAGAAACAAGAGGGACTGGTGATATAAAAATCTGAATCAGTATTCTAATTCTGGGAACATATTGCAATCAGCTACCAACGCTGTATCAGCTTGGTTCCAACAATTACCCAGTTCATGGAAAGCCTTCTTTAGTTTACTTGGGATAGTTTTGCTTATTTTGTTTTACTGATATGGAATATATTGCTGTTGTACTATTTGTGTAGGAATGCAGGATAAGCTTACTCAATGTTCTCTTAAACACTTACAAAATCTTGCAGATATCACTTTGTGTCCCAGTTGTGAATGGCCCTCACCATACTGACACTTTCTGACTGACCTCGATAGGTAGGCAGGAATATCATTGCCCCTAATCAGCCTGAAGAAGTTACAGAGGATGGATCTTCATCCCTCTGCAACCCTTAGGATTAAGGGTTCTCTTATAAAAGTGATGGGGGAAATGTCAGAGGCATTTGAACTAGAGTAACTCCATCTTGAATAGCAGCTGGGTAAAATCAGGCTGAGACCTACGGGGTCTGCATTCCCAGACCGTTAGGCATTCTAAGTCACAGGATGAGACAGGAGGTCGCACAAGATACAGGTCATAAAAACCTTGCTGAGAAAACAGTTTGCAGTAAAGAAGCCAGCCAAAACCCTCCAAAATCAATATGGCAAAGAGAATGACCTCTGATCGTCCTCATTGCTACACTCCAATCAGTGCCATTGCAGTTTACAAATGCCATGGCAATGTCAGGAAGTTACCCTATATGATTTAAAAAAGGGAGACATGAATAATCTACCCTTTGTTTAGCATATAATCAAAAAATAACCATAAAAATGGGCAACCAGCAGCCCTTGGGGCTGCTCTGCCTATGGGGTAGCCATTCTTTTATTCCTTTACTTTCTTAATAAACTTGCTTCCTCTTAAAAAAAAAAAAAAAAAAAAAAAAAAAAGGTTTGCCAACAACCGTCCTAGTATTCACAGGGCTGGGAGAAGAGGGATCCACATGGTATAGGGTCAAGACCACCTTTTTATCTCTCTCACAGTGACCTAGATGGTAGCAAAACATGTCTGCAGACCCCTTCTCCAGGAAGGAAAGGAACCTTTACCCATAAATATGCAGAGCCCCTCAAAAGCAGTCCTGCCCAGAAATAAGTATGTCGCTGTTCCACACCCCTGACCTCCCACTGTGGAAGGCTGCTTTCGGCGTCTGCAGCACACTCTCTGAATATCCTCAATGGCAGCAGACCCCTTCGCAGATTTTATATTTTAATAGTCAGGTGTCATTCACAGAGGTATTGCTATCAAGCTGATCAAAAATAGGTCAGACTGACATTGCGGACAGAAGAAATTTTTCTGTACCTCAAACTAGCTTTGAAGGCAGCTATGAAAAATTATCAGCATTATTAGAATTAGTACGTGGCCTCAGCTGAGTTTATATTAATATAACGCTTTAATGTTTGTGAAGTTTTAAAGTATTTGATTTAACCCAGAGTAACCCTGCAGTTTTAGCTCTAGATTACAAAACAGCTGAGACTCAGAAACATTAGGTTCCTAGCTCCCTCTGAGGTTGCAGTCTTTTTAAGCCTAAATCCAGTAAAATTTCCACCATGCTACAATGTCACCCAAGGCGGTCTCCTAAAACGACTCCCCTAAAGATGGTAAGTTCCTAGATGATTTTTGTTTCAGTCCCACTGCAGAATCTTTGCCAACAGGAGAGTCAAGACAGGACCATGCTGTGCTGTTCCTCAATGGTGGCTGAAACACAGGGGCAGGTGGCACAGGCTACAGTCCCGCCCCCACACTCCGTTTCTCTTAAAAGAGCTCCTACAAGGGCAGGCGTGTGGCTCACACCTGTAATCCCAGCACTTTGGGAGGCTGAGGCGGGCCAATAAGTTAAACTCAGGAGTTCGAGACCAGCCTGGCCAACATGGCAATAGCCTGTCTCTATTGAAAATATAAAAATTAGCTGGCCATGGTAGGATGCACCTGTAGTCCCAGCTACTTTGGGACCTGAGGTGGGAGGATCACTTGAACTCGGGAGGTAGAGGTTGCAGTGAGCTGAGATCATGCCACTGCACTCCAGCCTGGATGACAGAGTGAGACCCTGTCTCAAAAAAAAAAAAGGAAAGACCTGCTACAGCCTGACATAAAGCATCAGCTCTGCTCCCCTGCATGGTCAGAGTTAATGTCACAAAACTGTACACTAACCAAGAAATTCCCCAATTCCTACTTGACAGACATACAAAAACAATACAGACACAAGAAGTGGTGAACTGCTTAATGCATACCTATTAGATAGAGAGTAAAGGAAATGAACCGGTGGTATTTACTGAGAATCCGCAAAGGCTCTTCTCTCTGGACCAGGGTGAAGAAGTAATCCGTCACTGTCTCACCATAGAAGAAATAGTTTACACACAGGAGAAAGTACCTGTAAATGAAGACAGGTCATTGCCGCGGGGAGCACCCTTGCCTTTACAGCAAGGCAGTCATACATCCCAGAGGAGGGGACAGAGGGCAGCAGAATACCCTCCACCCTTGAGCCCCCCAGCACAGCTCACAGAGGGACAGGCAGACCACAGTTTCCTGCTCTCTGGTGACACCACAGGTGAGAAATTTATCTAGAAACAGACAGCAGCTTTCATTCACTCTCCATTTCTCCCAAACTTGAGACTCCATTTTTGCCCCTTTTGTAGCATTCCCATACCTAACTGAGGGATCCTTGAACCATACGACCTTCAAAAACACGCCTCATCCTGCTTCCCCAGTCTCGTTTCCACTCTTCCCAACAGGAACTCCTTCACTGCTATCACAATGGTTTCTTCCAGCTATGCCGCCTGTCTGCTGTTCTCCTGCCTTCTTCCTGCTCCTGACATTCTCTTTGCATCTCCATTTTTTCACTCCTTGCTCAAATGCCATTTTATTCATAAAACTTTGCATGACCTAACATGACATCTGCCTCCCCTGCATTTATTTCTATAGCAGGTAATAGGTGATTATCTGACTAAGCAATTCATGATGCATCTCCGTCTCTGAAGCCTGGCTCTGACACAGACCTTCCGCTAGCATTAACTCTTCACTTGTGTATCCTCTCTCCTCAACTGGCGTTCGTGAGAAGAGAAACCATCCCTTGCAGCCTCCCCAGTACTGCCGAGTATGGGACCATGCAGCCACCACTGCAAACCCCCAGCAAGGATCCCGAGACAGAGAAGAAAGTGGAGAGCTTCTCTTTCCCATTCTTTTTTTAAAATTATGAAGTACAAAAATTTCGTATTTCGTTCCTTTTCTGTTACATGGAAAAAGCTTTCTTTGTAAAGTGACCACAGCCAGGAGTCAGGCCTTCTGAGTATGTTAACAAAACGCAAAACACTGCTTTCCAGCTAAAGAACAGCCGCAACAGGGACCTGCATCTTAAGCCACGAGGCAATCACAGTTCCATCTGGAGGCTGGAAGGCAGCCCGTGCTGTTGGGTGACAGGAAACCCCTCAGGAAGTGGGTGCCCAGCCTACATCTGAGCACATCAGCTTCCTTGATGGTGACCAGGTTGCTGGGGCAAAAACCACTACTCTCCAGCCGGCTAAGTCATGGCCTCAACCCCTGTATCCCCCGCACAGTGGGGTGAGAAGGTCCGCATTTGCCCCAGGTCTTCTCAGCATTGTGCAGTGCTCTGCTCAAAAGTCACCACCTGAGAATACTACAGCCAATAAAGCAGAGAGTTTCAGATCAGAAAGGGGTCTCAGACATGTACTACAGGTTTTTCTTTCATTTTTGCTTTAAGAAAGCTGAGTCCTAAGAAACAGAGAAAGCCAACTTTCCCAGCAGAGCCCAGATCCCATGCATTCAGTCTCACTCCTGTCCACTCTGGCACTCAAAACACCTCTGATGAGGTAGGGCTCAAACACCAGTCTGGAAACCACAAAGTCTCAACCATCTGTCTTAGATATAAGGAAACCAAGTTCCAGAGATAACAAGCAAAGCCGGCAGCAGAACCTAACAACTTCCAGACAACTCTAGTGGGATGCTGAGATATGACAGCATGAAAAATATACTGATCTAGAAAAACGGGATCATCATGCAGAGTTTAAGGAATCCAAATACCGAGGCAAACACAGTCACAGAATGCAGCCCATCTGGTTTCTTCTCAGGAAGAGTCCAGACTTCAAGTAACTATTAAAGACACCTCCAAGGCCAACCACACAGTCTGGCCTATGAAATACTCAGGTCTCAAAGGCACAGTGCAGGTCTGCAGCAATCACCTCCTTTTCTCCTGCTTTTTCCTGCTAACATTCTCTTACCCATTTCTTTATTCGTTGCTCAAATGCCATTTTCTTCATAAAACTTTACATGACCTAACATGATATCTGCCTCCCCAGCATTTATTTCTATAGCAAGTAATAGAAATACCCACCATCACTGTAAATACCTGCCAAAAAGCACATCATCCAAATTCTAAGGGCCTCTGTTAGGCGGAGAGCTTACCAGCTGAGGGTCCTGAACCAGGGCAGATCATAGGAGTGGTAGACGTTGTAGCCAATAGTGATTATCTCGTGGAAACACTTAATCTGAACACACATCACCTGCGGGACACAAAACATTCACTGACACCCCAATTCTTATGATTTTTGGAAATGGAAACCAATAGGTCATGAGCCTTCCAGAAAATCCATTGTACTTAAGAAAAATATTAGGCTTCTAATGGTTCTGCTTGCCTCCTCTTCCTTCCTCTCTCACACCATCCCACAGAGCAATGCAGCCCTCTGTGTAACAGGGAGTAGATCCAATTTTCCACTCACAATAAAATACACACCCTGATGTTTCAATTAACTTTTTTATTTTTTAAGACAGGGTTTCACCATATTGCCCAGGCTGGTCTTAAACTCCTGGGCTCAAGCAATCCACCTGCCTCAGCGTCCTAAAGTGCTAGGATTACAGGCATGGGCCACCGCACCCAGCCAAAAAGACTTTTTTTTAAAGTAGAGACGAGGTCTCACCTTCTTTCCCAGGCTGGTCTTGAACTCCTGGGCAATCTTCCCTACTTGGCCTCTCAAAGTGCTGGGATTACAGGTGTGACCCACCATGCCCGGCCCTCAATTAACTTTCTATTCTAGAACCTCCTTTTTAACTTTTTATTCTAGAACCTCCGAGGATTCAACCAATCCATTCTCCTTTTGACTTTGAGTACTTTAAAAGTCTCATCTGCTTTGCTCACATGCAGCTGATGGTCACCCGACCCTGTCCAGGACAGTGGGAAGACAGAGAGAGCAGCTCTGTGGACTGGGATTTCTTAATAAAAGCTCTACACTCAGGAGGGAGGCCCCATGAAAACAAGAAACAAAACCAGGAGTCACATAGAGACATGGCTAGGGTAAAATTTTACAGAGTTGGAATAATAAAGTCGGTTGTTTGTTTTGAGACAGAGTCTCACTCTGTTGCCCAGGCTGGAGGGCAGTGGTGTGATCTTAGCTCACTACAACCTCTGCCTCCTCGGTTCAAGCGATTCTCCTGCCTCAGCCTCCTGAGTAGCTTGGATTACAGGTGGCTGCCACCACGCATGGCTAATTTTTGTATTTTTAGTGGAGACAGGGTTTCGCCCTGTTGGTCAGGCTGGTCTCGAACTCCTGACCCTGTGATCCGCCCGCCTCTGCCTCCCAAAGTGCTGGGATTATAGGCGATAAAGTCAGTTTTTTAAATGAAGATACATCTTCCACCACATACAACTAGCCTACATCAATGGCCCTCCAGGTGGCTACTGAAAAGTGGAAAGTCACAGATGTTCTATGGCAGATGTTTTCTGAGCAGCCTGGACCCCTGTCAGTTCCCCCAACCAACCCAATACCTGGCACTTAAGACAACCGGGCCTGCAGCAAAAACTGAAAGGGAAACTAAAATAGTATGAAATGGCACTTACGATTATCATTAAAACCATTGGTCCCAGGTAAATGATGATGAAGAAAAATGCAATCATGGCCAAAGTCAGGATGCCTCTCACCCACCAGTTCTTCCATCTATGTCAGAGTAGGGGAAGGAGAAAACACCAGTTAAAAAAAACCAATGCACAAACTCAAGGGACATGAATCTTTCTGAGATTTGAGGGCCCTGAGCTCAGTCCTTTCCAGATTCACCTTGACGGAAGCACCAGTCACATGCTGGCAGGAGCAGGGCCACAGTACCAATGCCTCAGCCACAACCAAACTTGGCAGAAAAATACACCTAGCTTATATCTTAAAGAAGGTATCAGGCAAAAAACAAACAAACAAAAAGCCAAGGGAAATGTAGTACCCTCTGCTTCTGTATCCACTTGGATGGTCTATCTGAAGAAAAAAAAAAACTTTTTTTCCAGCAGCAGGATCCTACACTGTACTGCCCTGAATAATTATGGGAATAACAGTAACATTATGCAATGATAATAACAGCTACCACAAATATGCATAAGGTAATTTTATGAGGACTTTACATATATTAACTCCTTCAATCCTCAACACACTTCGCTTTTATAGACGAAGAAACAGAGGCACAGGTTGAATAGCTGGCAAACAGTAAAGCTGGGATCTGAATCCAGGGGTCTGGCTGCAAAGTCCATGCCCTTAACCACTGCACAATTCAGACTCCCAACGGCACAGCTGGAGGCACACATAGGAACACTGAGATAATGCTTTGGGGTCTTATAAGTTGTTTTTGATCTACTCACATAGCTGTGTTAAAAGAACTAAGTTCTCAAGGGCCAAAAGTTTTAACTAGATTCACCTAGGTTAAGATGTTTCCCAGTTCTTCCTGGAGAATTTAAGGAATTGTTCACAATGGATGTGGGAGAGAGAAACTAAACTGAACTGGAAACATGGACTCCTCAGTGAAAAGCAGCCTTCCATTAATCATAAACCCAAGGCCGGTTTCCTGTGCTGTGCAGTGTCTGCTGACCTCACCCACCTCCATCCCTCCTGTCCCCTCTTCCTCTTTGGACTGCACTTCCTAGTCCAGTCTGGAGCACCCTTCCAGGGCCAGATCCTTCCAGCCTTGGTTGCCCTCCCCTCCTGGTCACTGTGCTCACTGCCACCGCTAAGCACTAGATTACACTCAATGGAGCCTGGAGCAGCGGCATGGGAGGCTGAGGCAAGGGAGCAGGCCTGTTCTGCAAGACCACGGGCTCTCTGCAGGCTCTTCCAGGGCACTTGGACATGGTGCAAAGCCCCCAACAAGCACCTGCCAGGTTACCTTGAAGACAAGTTGGAAAGCGCCCTATTGAGGACCTCTGGGGTATCATCTGCAGAGACTGGCAGGGGTGCAGATTCTGCCCGGCTTTCACTGTCCGATGCAGTCTCTCCATCTACCTTTGCTTCTGACTCTGACTCCTATGTGGCAGAAATATAGAAGAGAAAAAGGTCAAAAGTGCTGAGTCAACCATTGAGAAGTCTATGCTTGTCATGAGAGATCTATGGGGAAAGACTCCAAACAGGGCCTAAGAACCTGGCACAGTCAGGTGATGGGACCGACAGGACTAGCAGCAATCCTGACGCTATTGTGACATGTGCCGAGGTGGCCAGCCGCACTCTGCTGGAAGAGAGGTGTGCATCTGCACCGTGCACCATCTGCTCAACTGCAGAGGACAGATCCAGAAGAGAGAATATGGCTCCTTTGTATCCAAAGAATGCAAAAGGGAGGCAGGGACCGGTTTTACCAGGAGGTTATCCCTGAGCCTGCGAGGGCAGTAAATGGCACTGACCAGGCTCTCCCAGGGGAAGCCAGGTAGTGTGAGCTATTGCCCCGGTAGACCCATTAATGTCAACATGCCCCAAGTCCACAGTGTTATTTCTGGACTTCACTAGAGCACTCTGTGAGGTCAATCACAGTCAGTGTGGACGACGAACCAGACAGCCTACTCCAGCCAATGCTTGAGCCAGGACTGGTGCACCTCAGTCCTTTCCCTGCCACCAGGCCCTGGGTGTCAAAAGACCCGAAGGAACTCACCCTGCTCCCAGCCTGGGTGAGGGAACCAGAGCCATGCCGGCAGTAAGCTCTTTACCCAAAGCATCAAGGGACGGGATATTCTGAATCCTAGGAATCATCCTACTACTCAAGTCTTTCCTTTCATAAGGGAATTTAGAATAGCTGCTATGAGAAGAGGTGGAGGAGAAATTAAATCACTTAGAGTAACAACACTACTTAGTATCTGTATAGCATGCACGGTCTGAAGAGCCTTTCCCATGCCTGCAAGCTTCAGAGCAGTACTGGGAGGAAGGGAAAGGACAGAAGCCCCATTTACAAATAAGAAACAGGATCTGGGAAGTTCAACATGTGGCCCAATGTCTCATATTAACCCAGGTCCTCTGACCTCCCTGATGATTGATAAATACATGGAATTGAGCACTGTTTCACATGTTCATTGGCCATTTGGATATCTTCTTTTGTCAAGTGTTTTTCAAATTATTGGCGAGTTTTTCTCGGAGTTTTCTGCCTTCCTTTTTTTATTGATTTGTAGTGGTTTATGTGCTCCAGATTTGAGTACTTTGTGTTACCAATATGTTCTCTCAGACTGCTCTAACCCCCACCTTCACCTCAGACAAGGTTAGACACTCCAGTTATTTGCTTTCTTAACACTCGGACCTTCTCCCTCTCAGCGCTGGCCACAATGGGGACTTTCATAAATGTCTCCTTGGCTGACAATAAACTCCTTAAAGACAAGAACATAACTTCTTGTTCTCATTATCCCCATGCGTGGCACACAGCAAGACACTTACTAATGGATGGAAGGAGAAGAGAGGAATTAGGTCCAGGTGTGTAAAGAAAAACCCAGCTCCTGCCCTCAGGGAGACAGCTCTTTCTAAATTAATTTACAACTGTGACAAGACAGAGGGCCTTAACTAGTGCAGATTAGCAAAACAGAAACACAAAACAGATTAGCAAAACAGAGGGCCTCGCCTAGTGCAGACTGCTGATAAAAAAGAGACAGCTGGCTTTGGTAAAGGCCTGATAAAGATGCCTCATCATTAGGATCCGAGAGGAAGAGCCACAGCTTCTGACAACAGTGACTGCTCCCTACTCTGCCACAGCCGAGCCAGGTGGCTCTGGATAAGTCATCCAAGTGCCTCTATACTTTGGCGTCTTCACCTCATAAAAGGGGCCCAGTAAGGTAAGGACCCTCCTTCCAGTGGGGATTCCTTGAAGAGGTATAACCGAACTCTCACCCGGAGCTGTGTCCCAGTACACCACTCCAGAGGTTCTGAAACACAGTAAGGTCTCCAGAGTCGCCCCTCTCCAGGGAGACTAAATGAAGACGAAGCATTCAGAACAGCTGTCCAGTCTTTATTTCAACATTGACACCCACACACCATCGGTAACCACCAGTTGCCAGTAATATTACGGTAATCATTATGAGTTACAAGGTAATGATGCTGCCTGATTATCTGGCTCTGACCTCTAAAATCTCGGGGCTTCAAAATGCTAGCACCTGGACCCCACCGAGACTCCCACAGATGCATTCCAAGAGCCTCTAGAAGCTGCAGGGACTGTGCTCCAGCACAGCAGGCGAGAGGGCACTCACACACAGAAAGCTCCGCACAAGGTTATTTTTAACTTATCCATCCTGTTGTCAAGGAGACTCACAAAGGCTGCTAGTTCCCCAGGCAGGGAAGGACAGGAACGGAACCCAGGCAGCGTCCTGTGAGGGAGGAGCAGGCAGCTGCAGCTCCGTGCTAAGAGCTTCTCTGGATTTCCCGTTAGCCCAGCACTGCATCCTGCAACACTGTCAGACCTGACTCCTCTCGTTCCTTGTAGGAAGGGGTGAAGTGAAGAGGGGTATCCGGAAGCAGGGAGTAGTAAAAGGAGATAGAGAACTGTTACAAAGATACCGCAACTATTGTTACCAAGACCTCAGAGGGACCGATCTGAACAACTAAGAAATGAAGTAATCACCTGAACAAACAAGGCTGAAAGAGATTCACTTTCTAGGTTTCCCCTGCCTTTAAGTGAGTAACTCCAGGTTCCCTGGGCCTCACCTGGGCCTGCTAAGGAAGCATCCTCTGAGCAGGAGACCAACACAGACCACGCTCTCCCAAAAGCTGAGATAGAGCATGTGCCAAGGGCAAATCCCTGTGAGGGGGGAAACTGCACAGCCTGGGGAAGACACAGAGGAGGAGGGGGGGACAGGTCAGCCAGCCACCCAGCTCCTGATGTCCTGTGGATGCCAAAGGGAACAGAAACGAGAGAACGTGGGGGTCTGCAGTCTTCTGGCTCCTCCCCACCCCGTGGACAAAGGCATTCTGCTCGGGGAAACAACTGCTCACACCTGGGAAAAGGAAGCTGCGTGCCAGCAGCAGCTTCCACAGAGGGTCCGGAAGGAGGCAGGGACCTGGAACCCATGCTCCTTCCCACAAGAAAGGTGGTACATTCTGAACATGTTCATCAGTTTGCTCCTCTGGGGCACAGCGAGGCGGGAAGATGTCAAGGAAAACTTTCTGCAGAATGAGGCAGCAGCCAGTCCAGGAAAGCAAGGCCCAGGGCCGGCTCTGACACTCATGATACGCAGCACGGGCCTCCATCCTCTGGGTCTTCAGTGGGGAAAGGACTCCCTATCTCGGAAGGTTGTTGGGATGACCAATGTGACCTCAATGAAAGACTATGAAAACTATAAAGTACTGAATAGCAGCAGGTGCCTGCCGCACTCCCCACAATAGCCTAACCACAGCACACAGGACAGAAGCACGAGAGCCTAAAACACCCACCCCAGACAAGCTGGACACCCTTCCCAAGGAGAGCATCAGGCCTTGCTGGGGCCAACTGCTAATAAATGATCTGGGCACAGCATTTGCCTACCTTGCTTCAAGCTCTTTCACACCGGCAGCCCCGACTCAAAACTGTGTAAGTGGTGTCTGAAACACAAGGGCTAACCATTAAAGCAACAGTCCATGCTAGTAGACTCTGAAGCTGAACCATCTGCCAAAGTGTGGGAGGAAATCTTAGGACTTGTTTCTACTTACCTCATTCTTTTCTTTCCCATGTATGCTTTGTAATAGGCGTTATCAGGACACATGTATATGTTCATGAGTGTAAATTGGGACACATGGTAAAAACACCATATACATGTCAGACATGGCGGTGTGTCAGGGGCCAGGAGTTACCTGTTCACTACTGCACTGAGCGGTGTCTGGAACATAGCAGGTGCCCCAAGATTTGCTGAACTGATGAGCTAATTAATTCTACTTGACCTATGATGGACCAAAGTGTCCAGACTACACTGAGATATGATAGCACACACTTTCCTGCTCGTGTGCCTGACTGGTGCCCCTGCAGCAGCCCTGGAAGCAGGACCAGACCAGCATCCACTCCTGCCTTGCTCCTGGTGGGAGGCGAGACCAGCACGGCAGGGAGAGGCTGCCATGCCTCTTCCGACTCATACCCACCCAGCTCCCAGGCACCCCTCCTCCTTCCTTCCCTTTCGATCCCGAGGGCCAGGAACAGAGGCCAAGTGGGGCAGACCCTCTCAGGTTCTCTCTCAACCACCGCCCATCCTCCCACAGTTCCTCAGCCACTTCCCAAGGGGGCTGTAGTGCTAGAATAAACAGGAAACAAGAGTGATGTTTTAAAGGAAGGGGGAAAGCTCCTCTGAGGGCCCACCCCTTTTGGTTTACATAGACCCTCTAGGGAAAGGCAGAAGCACTTAGGATGAGGGACACATATAGTGTCCTGTGCACTAGGGGCTCAGTAAGAGCCATTAGCATTTTTGGAGAAACTTATGCTCAGAAAGCTTCTCCACCAACTGCCCAGAAGCTTCCATACACACAGCACTGACCCGAAGATCAGAACAGAGCAGAAGCAAGAGAAGGCAGTGAGGGAGGACCAGAGGGAGCAGTGGGCGGGAGGGGATGTTCCTGCCTCAGCCTCCCAAGTAGCTAGGATTACAGGTGTCCGCCACCACGCCTGGATAATTTTTATATTTTTAGCAGAGATGAGGTTTCGCCACATTGGCCAGGCTGGTCTTGAACTCCTCACCTCAGGAGGAAGGAAATTTCATTAAAAGGCGGAGTTCAAGGTACTGGTGGGTTATACCTCCAACAACTCTGCCTTTCCCACTGACCCTGCATTCAAATTCACAAGTTTCACTGACTAACTCCATAACTTACACAACTTTTTGCATTGCTTTATATACAAATTATCAACTTTCTCCTGGAGGAAAGTCATTAGTCTAAGCCTAACCTTTCTGCTGAATACTATGGCCTCCATCTTCTAGATCAAGCCCTGTGGCCAGTTGCCAGGGAGGGCAACACCCCACTCACACAGACAGGATCCTAGGAGAGAAATTACCAGAGATGGGTCTATCCTTAATAAGCATCCTTAATAAGTGTCAGGGACTTAGGTGGCCATCTCAATGAAAAAGCCAAGTAGCCTTTCATCTGAGTTCCCACTGAAAAAAAAATATACATATATATGTGTGAGAGTATGCATCTGTGTGTGTGTATTGTTAGGAATAACAAAGAAATACTTTAGCCCTAATACTAACTCCATTTGGCAAGTTCAATTGTCAGAACAAAACACCAAGCAGAAGGAGGACCCCACTCTGCATGAATTTACAATCATCCCCAGCATGGCCATACCCTGTCCTTCAAAAGCCTCATAGCAATAATGGGATCCAAAGCTACCCAAATGGACAGCTTCACTTCTGGCATCTCTAACAGGTTAACTGCACTCAGAGAAAGCACAAGAAAATACATGAATGTGGCAGATTCAGCTTCTTAAAACCTAACTCTGGCTGTGAGCCATTTTGCCTCCAGATAAAGCTATTTACAAAGGACCACAGGGGACTTGGTAGAGGACAGACCACTGGTGGCAAAGGACAACTGTCCCCAGGACAGTCACACTCGGAGCCAGCCATGTGCTTGCCATGCCCTCTCTTCCTACCTCCTCAGAGACTCACTCCATTGCCCTCCCCATCTTCTCACCTCTCTCCCTCACTACAGCCCTACTTACAACCATCTAGGCAGGCTCAACAAACAACTTTTGACAGCTCATCCAACCAATACACTTTTTTCCCCACTTCATGGGTAAACCTCTGGGAAGAGCTGTCGACATTTCATGTCCCCTCCCTGGCTGTGCATCATTCCTCAAACCACAACAACCCAACTTCAGCCCCACCTGTTCCACTGAAGCAGCTCTTCCAGGTCAACAAGGACCTTGTCACAAAACCCACCGGGTACTCAGTCCTCACCTCATTCAATCCCTCAGCAGCTTTTAATGCTATTATTGAAAAACACTCTTCCTCTGGCTTCCAAGCAGCACCTCCCCCTAGGTTTCCACCTGCCTCTCTGGCCAGGCATCTTTAGCTGGCCTTCTCCTTAGGAACTGCCTCTTCCTCGGCCTGTCCCTTCATTTGAGGGTTCCTTGGGGTTGGTCCTAAGCTCTCTTATTATTCTGCTGCCTCCCACTCTCCCTGAGTTTTCCCATTCATTCTCACGCTCCCTGCTGTCTCTTCTTGAGCTACAGACCCTAACTCTAAATGCCGAATAGATGTCTCCACAGACACCTAAAACTCAACATGTGTCCAAAACCAAGCTCATCATCTCTTCCCACAAACGTCTTCCTTCTACTACGTGACCTATCTTAGCAAATGGTACCCTTTACCCTGAATTCTCAAGAGAACAAGGTGGCCATCACCCTTAGTGGCTCCTTCCTCAGCTTGTAGATCTCCAAAACAGCTGTCAGCTGCATCCACTCATTATGCCACCCGTCATTCCCGTAATTCAAGCCAACATCATCCCTCCTCTGAGTAACTGCAACAGCCTAACTGGCTACCTCACCTTCAGCCTAGAGTCCATTCCCACCTACACTTTCGCCACTGCAGCACAAGGATCTTCCCAGAAATTCTGATTGTGTCACTCTCCATCCTGAACCCCTCCCACAGCTCCCCAGTACCTAGATAACAGCTCTTTAAAATGGCATACAAGCCCCTTGGGATCAGGGTCTTATCTACTCATCCAGCCTTATCTCTCATAGCCATTCTGAACTAGAGTCAGTTTCTAGAACAGGTTGTACTTTCTCACCTTTAGGATTTTTGCTACTGTGTTCCTATCTAAAACAGTCTGCAAACCACCCTCTACTGAAACCCACTTCTCTTCCGGCAAATTTTCATTGATCCTTTAAGAGTTCCCTTTCTCTCCAAATCTTCCCCAGCTGCCTGTGTGTCCCAGCAGCCCCTGTCCTTCCTTAGGAGTGCTCCCCACCATGGTTCATGCCTGTAATCCCAAAACCTTGGGAGGCCAAAGTGGGAGGATCGCCTGAAGTCTAGGAGATTGAGGCTGCAGTGAGACCTGATCACGCCACTGCATTCCAGCCTAGACGACAGAGCAAGACCCTGTCTCAAAACCAAAAAACAAAAAAGGACTGCTTCCCACACGGCACAGTCTCCACCTCAAGACCATCATCTCTCTGGGGGAGCCATGTGGATATCCTCACCACTGTACCCCCAGCACCTGGCCTGGCACCTAGAACCACATCTGCATAGGCAGCCACAGTCAATTATGTTGAGAGAATCCAGGGTTTGCTACAGTGGCAGGTACAGCTGGGCTACATATAGCACTGGCCAACCATTCATTTTTGCACTCAATAGCACTATAGGAGGCATTTTAGGGCTGCAGCCAGCTGTCCCACTGTTTATCTCCCCGTCTTCTTAGGCGTTTGTGGCCAAATGTATCCTAAGTGATACGGGGGTTTCCAAAAAAAGTACAGGGTCTGTATGTCTCAGAAAGGACAAGGAAAGCCTGTCTGAAATCCAGTTTCTAGGAATGCAAGGCTTTCTAATTCAAATACATACAGTTGTATTGAGTCCCAACCTCTGCACAACTGCCAATCTCATATATTAAACCCATAATTTTTGTGACAAGGAATGATCAGGAATCCTTCTTTCTCCCAACACTCTCTCACACCTTGCCCATTAAAGCCTCCTTCTGGAGTAAATGCATCTGTTTACTAACAGCAAGCATATAACTATAAATGTGAAAGAGTTGCAGGAAGTACCAACCTCCATCACAAGCCATTACTTAATTCAGAACAGAGACTATCAGAGACAAGAAAACCACTCAGGTCCCCAAGAGGCTCTGCCAATGGCTCTGTTCTGATGACATCACTTGTTTTCCTATTGCCTTCCAGGGTTAGGGGAAAGACACCAAAAATCAGAAGCCCCACTGGAGTTCATTAGGTCCTCCTATTATCAGTTTCTTAGTCGGGCATCTTTCTTTAGTATTTAAAGGAAAATTAGTTTTCAGCCTTACTGGGAAAGGAAGGAATTTTTTTTTTTTTTTTTTTTTAGTTTATTAAGATAAAGCTCTTCCAAGGAGGGAATATGTCGAATACTGCCAAAAGATCTAGTAAGATGGAGAAGAAAAACATATTCGCAATCTCAAAACTGGGCTCAAGTGTGCTCCCCAGACCCCTGCCAGGAAGCAGAACCAAGACAGCTGCTGGGTTCCACATGCAACGAGCCCCTAAATCATAAATCACTATCTGGTACCTGCTTCGCTGTCACTCACTTCACAACAGTGCTTTCTACAAAGATTCCTAGACAAAATAAGTAGACATGAGAGCAAATGTCCCCAGTGTCTCAAGCCCCAACCTCTCCTATTCCTGTGGGCAGGCAAGCACCCTGGGGCTGTTTACCATATTGGAACTTTATATTGTCACTTTTGTACTATTCCTGGTTTATAACCAACACTCATGGAATCCAGTACCAATCAAATAGACTCTAACTATTCAAGGGAGAAACTAGTATGTTTCTCCCTTGAAGGACATGGAATTAACAGTGTTCTCAATCCCAAATTTGTCATATTAGTTATAGAAGAAATTATGGGCTGGGTCCAGTGACTCACTCCTGTAATCCCAGCACTTCGGGAGGCCGCGGTGGGTGGATCACTTGAGGTCAGGAGTTCAAGACCAGCCTGGCCAATATGGTAAACTCCGTCTCTACTAAAAACACAAAAATTATCTGGGCGTGGTGGTAGGCACCTGTAATCCCAGCTACTTGGGAGGCTGAGGCAAGAGAATTGCCCGAACCTGGCAGGTGGAGGCTGCAGTGAGCCAAGATCGCGCCACTGCTCTCCAGCCTGGGCAACAAAGCTAGACTCTGCTTCAAAAAAAAAAAAAAGTAAGAAAGAAAGAAAGAAATTATGAAAGCCACAATGCTAAATAGTTTCTCTTTTTGATAAATCACTGGGGATGCCTGGGGAAAAAATTATATTGAAAATGAGAAAGGCATTGAAGACAGACTCCTAATGGCCAATGATAGGACAATTTGAGCATTAAAATAATAAACAAAAAGTGATTTAAACACAAGTATATAAAAATTTCTGAGTTCATAATGATAACTGTAAGAAACTACTGGCCAGGCGCAGTGGCTCATGCCTATAACCCCAGCACTTTGGGAGGCCAAGGCAGGCGGGATCACCTGAGGTTGGGAGTTTGAGACCAGCCTGACCAACATGAAGAAATCTCATCTCTACTAAAAATAAGAATTAGCTGAGCATGGTGGCCCATGCCTGTAATCCCAGCTACTCAGGAGGCTGAAGCAGGAGAATCGCTTGAACCCAGGAGGCAGAGGTTGTGGTGAGCCGAGATTGAGCCATTGCACTCCAGCCTGGGCAACAAGAGCAAAACCCCATCTCAAAAAAGAAAACAACACTACTTTGGCCACCTTTGAAGGGTGCTGAAACACCAAATCTTTTTTTGAAAACCAGTAATTAAAAGGAAAGAGCCTCCCTACATTGCCCAGGCTGGTCTTGAACTTCTGGCCTCAAGTAATTCTCATGCTTTGGCCTTCCAAAGTGCTGGGAGAATAAGCATCAGCCACAGCACCTGGCCATCAAATTACTTTCAAATATCCATTACCTCAGCAAAGAAAAGTCAATGTGGTCTCAGTGTGATCTCCACAGGCTCTGGAGACTAAAGTCTTCAAACATAAGTAAATAAAACAACCTCCATGCTGCAAATCAGATAGACTCTCCTGCCTTCATCTTATCATATATCTTGGCAATGTCAGATCTAGTTGACCATTTCCTCCTTGAAACATTCTCCGCTCAGCTACTTCCATACCATACTTATCAGATTCTCACTCTACCTGACTGGCCGCTCTTTGTCAGTCTCCTGTGCTATTTTATCTCTATCTGACTTCAAAATGTTGAACGGGACCTGGGCTCAGTTCTGGACCTACCACACTCTCTCCCTAGGTATCATCATCCAGTCCCTTGGCTTTAATTACCAATTCCATGCCAATGACCCCAAGACTTGTATCTCCAACCGCCAACTTCTCCCTCAAGCTTCAGACTCATATTTCCAACCACTTACCGACATCTCCACGAGAAAGTTTTCACAGGTATCTCAAAAATAACACATCTAAACAGAGCGCTTTTGACATTGTCTGTAAAACTGTTGATCCTGAAGTCTTGCCTAGTCAGTCAGTTGACAGCATGCGAGTCTATGTACCCTGCATAAGCCAGACACCTGAGAGGTACAGACTGAATATCTCTTACCCAAAATGCTTGAGACCGGAAGTGTTTTGCATTTCAGAATTCTTTTCAGAATTTGGAATATTTGCATTACACTTACTGGTTGAGCATCCCTAGTCAGAAAATCCTAAATCCAAAATGCTCCAATGAGCGTTTCTTTTGAGCATCACATTGGCACTCAAAAACTTTCAGATTTTGAAAATTTCAAATTTTTGATTTTGGGATGTTCAACCCGTAATTCTTATCTCCCCATCTTCCCCCAGGTACTGGACACTGCAGTTAGTTCCCTCTTAAAAATCCATTCAACTCTTTTCATGGTATACAGTAGCTCGTACAGTCTACTTATTTTTAATCCTGCCCCTCTGCCACAGTGATAGGTTCACGAACACGCATTTACCCCAGCCTAAGGCAATGTGCACCTTGACTGTTTTGGAGTAGGCACTTGACTCAAGATGGTACAATCAGTTCAAATAGCAAAAATAGCTACTGGTATTTTAGGCTATATTAACACAGGCATGGTCTGGTTCTAGTTAGCATTAGTCAGACTTTACCTAGAGGCTAAATATGTCCAATGGAGTGGTTAAAGCAGTAAGGAGACCAAAAAGAGCAAGACGATAAAATGAATAGATGAAGAAACCAGAAGGGCTAAGCGTGGAGACAACCAGGAAATAAGCATACTCTACTGCAGTACTGAAAAGGAGAAACTGGTTTTATGTCCCTAACAAGGAAAAATTATTAGGTAAATGACGGTAAATCAATTTTCTGTGCAGCTATTAACAAGACAACTATAAACACCGTGCAGCAACATGAAAAAGGCAGAATATAAAACTATGTCTATACTGGGCTATACTAC